GAGCGAAAGAGGACGGATGAAAGGATAGACGGCAGCACTCGCAGCAGGGCATATATTGTATATTTTCGGCAATCAGCAGACCATCCCGTTGCGCAATCATGCGTGTACGCGAGTCGCGCGATCGCTGTGTAAGTGGATGTCCGGATGCGTAGCCTGGAGGCTATGCGACCTGTTCCGGACGCATAGCCACTGCATACTTTTTATTGCTGGCTGCTTGCAGTAACTAGGGGCTGCTTATTTACCGAGTTATACGGTATTTCCCTGAGATGAACTGAGTTAAACAACACATTTGCGACCATTTGCGCCCATCTTAGTTCGACAAATCTAAAATCTATTGACGTACTTTAAACGCATGGCACGACGGAGCAACTAGAATTTCGGTATCTAATGTTTAACTCATGTCGTTATTGAGGTTTCCACGTGACGTAACAATTTCGTGTTTATTTTGTTTGCCTCGTGAAATTCACAGTGTGTACAGCAAAATAATGTTAAAATTATAATAACAAAGCTGGAATACTATAACCTAATGTTGAAAGTTAATGAAAAACCAGTCAAATATCACAAGATAATTATTTTCTCTGAGATAAACATATTTGTTATAAAGGTCACAGATTATCTAATGGATGGCTATCAGACAAGTGTATTGAAATTCGTTCCATAGCCTAGTTGAATTACAACATCCCATAATCCCAGCCTGTAATCCTCACCAAACAATTTGGTCCCTTCTTATATAACAATGACATATACAGATGTGATATAGTAACCGTGGAAACAGTTACAAGCCATACTAATGACATTGATATTAGTTGGCTATGTTTGCCTCATAGCTGTGCCCTAATTAAGTGATTCACGCAGAAAAGATTTAGTATTACAGTTACTTACCTCCAGAAGTAAATTGGTTTAACTAATGAAAATGACCTGTTTCCTTATACCTGAGTGAGTGCGTTGCTACGGTAACTATTTGAATGTTTAATCACTAAATCTTCTTAGAAAATTCCTAGTTGGAGACTGCATGACAATGTTAATAACTTCCATATATGTTAAAGTGATTATGTCACCGTAAATAATAAAGAATAATACAAATATTTCCACTTTTTCACAAAATATAAGTAATTCTGTTCACATTTTATGGTTAAATTGCTGCATTATACTTCCTATTTTACTATATTGTTTGATGTGAACATACACTCGTGACCCATACATAGCCCATAGCAAGCAATTAAAAACATTAATTCAAATCGTCAAGGTTTTTTGGATTTTTAACTAGTTGAAAAACAATCTTATTAGGTAAGAATTTGACAATTTGTTTAGTCCCATTAGTTCTTACTTGCAATTTTTTTTTAACAAATTTTACCATAGAAAATTCGTGACGTAGTCCCTTTAACATGTGATGTGATGTTGACACTAGTTGCTGTGAAAATACATAAGAAATTAATAATTTGTGATTGCATCCTCTAACAATCACCAAGTCACCAGACACAAGTAAAGAAATAGTAGGCCCCAGATTTTCATTAGGTCACCCAGAATGTTAGGGTTTGTTTGCATAGATAAACATTGCATAATCAGTGGAATCACTACGGTTTGCATAGATAAACATTGCATAATCAGTGGAATCACTACGGTTTGCATGCTACCGTTATGCCAATTCAATTTGCTTACCGTATTCTAGGATCCCGATACGTTTTTTGACAAGTAGCATAAAAACTACACTAATCTATACTTGAAGGAAATGTCGTGTAGTTCTCTTCTCAAAATAGTTGGTATGCATCTTAATGCTCATAATACATAATAGCGCTCTATTTTAGTGTCAATTTTCAAATACATGAATCCAACATGTTGGCACTTTATGTGATAAGCTGGGCCTCTAATATTTTTACATTGGGGACCTAGGTGGCTACTACTATTTTGAGAAAGTTTTCATCACTAACTTATGTTTTGTAGTCGGAGGTTGAAGACACACTGAAGCGCATCCAGACCCACAAGGGAGTGGTTGGAATCATTATAGTGAATGGTGAAGGTGAGCAATAAGTGATGAATGCTTTTTAGTGTATTTAACTAGATTGACTCAGTGGAAATTTATGTGTTCGCGACTAAAAATGGCCCCATTCTTCTGATATAAGTATAGCATTGAGTAGTAAGATACAATTTCAAAAGGAAATAATTTAAATGGCAATTATTCATAAGAACATTGGCCTGTTTAGTTTAGTAATGCACTGGTTACAACTTTATATCCTACAAGAACTTTTAGAAACCCAACGTTTTGTGGATTAATTATATGTGATGTTTATTGATGTCATTATAATTATGTGATGATTTTTTAAATTCCACTAGTTATTTCATTGCATGCAATATCGTCTGTAGCATTTTCTCGCCCTTAGAGCTTCCTGTGGGAGCATTAGGATTCAGTCTCGTGACTGTAGTGTCTACCCTGGTACCTTGGATCCCCATGTTTATTGCCTTAGTGTCATGCCTGTATTGATAATAACAATGATTATGGACCTATGATGTAGATTTCTTAATTCTTCCTTAGCTATTCTTCCTTCCTGTAGCATTAGAAGCTACAGTCAATACACTATACACAACAATTTAATACCAACATACATAAGGTTTTGTTTATGCTGAATGTAATCTCCTATGAAATACCCATTTATATAGTGTGAATAAATAGATGTTGAATAATAAAGAACAATATGTATGGGAGGAACAACTGTGCAAATATGAAATTTTAATAGTGAATAGTAATAACAAGTTATTTTGGATTGATTTGCTTTACAAAGGTATCCCTATAAGGACGACATTAGATAATTCCACCACTGTCCAGTATGCAGGACTCATACACCAGCTGGCGGCAAAGGCAAGGAGTACAGTCAGGGATCTTGACCCTCAGAATGATCTAACTTTTTTGAGAATAAGGTCCAAGAAACACGAGATCATGGTTGCACCAGGTATGTATGCATTAACCATCATCAATACTATACACTTACATATGAATGATACATGTGATCAGGGTATGCAGTAAGAAAAGCTGGTTTTAAAAAGGTTTACATTACAGATATGGCAACACCTACAGATCAGAAACCTAAATAAGCTAAATTCATAATATTTTTATTACTTCATCAAAATTTAGTCCTGCTAACTAATAAAAAGCTCAATCGTGGAAAATTACCATTTATCAGCAGTTGTTTACAATGCGAATCGCAGCTGCTGAAATGTGTGCAACAAAGGTTTCTGTGCCATTAATTTTTTCCACACATTCATGTCTCATCACTTGCATCATAATATAAGGGACACACAATTCTTGGCTAATTAAAAAACCTGTACTAGCATTGGCGTGTGACCACAGCATGTTGGCAGGCTGTTGCCAGGTAAAACTGTTCGGATTTTGTCACCGAAAGTGGCTTGTAAAGTAATGTGCAGTGATATTAAAACTAATGTGAATTTGGTGGCAAGGTTAAAAACTCATCACACAAGGTGTCAGTTACTCTATCATTTTTAGCAGTGTGGATTATATAGCCATATTTCTTCAAAAAAATTTAAGCAACCATTAGAAATAAAATAAATGCTTTATCCAGCTAAAAAATTTGGTGTAGTTGTTATACAGCACTAACGTTGAGCAAACTGGTATTATGTTCATCTGAAAAGTTTTTACTTTATTTCCAGACAAAGAATATTTGCTTATTGTGATACAGAATCCGAGTGAGTAGCAGGCGTCATTGCAAACCTGGCCTTTCTCAGTTGCTAACCAATTTAGCACAAACCAAACTGGTGAAACTAAGTAATGTATGTGTGTGTGGTTAAAATATCTAAAGCATATAATTTATATCTCATGCCTTTTACTATATGTATTAATCTGTATAGCAAAACAACGATTTCTTGTCTTTTTATGACTATAGTAAGTAAGTCACTGAGCTGGTTATCAGATCCTTATCAACTGCTGACATTATAAATAAAAAAAGTAATATAATGCATGAAAGAATGGTGTCTAGACAGTCATATGTACAGCTTTTAAAAACGTAACCAGTAACAATTTGAAACACTAGTTTAATTCTACCATTTCTTCTGCGGTAAACAGCATGGTGAGCACAGGCATTATCCAATGAATGCGTATATTTGCAAGCAGTTTAAAAGTTTTCATGATTTATAAATTTGTGAGAATTTTGCTTAAATTTTAATATTTCTTTATAGTTGGATACATGTACTATCAAATGTAAAGAACAAAATACAGCTGTTTAATGTTATTATTACTATAAACTGTTATCTTACACACTTGTATGCATATGACACATTCTATGAAGCAAGTACATTGTGTTTAAAGTTTGTGAGTACTGCTGGAATAGTAATAATAATAATAATGTAATTCCTTCCAACAACTACAACGAGGTCAACAAACAAACAAAATCAATATAGTTGAACATATAAAGAGCAGAAAGGGGAGACCAGAAACTCCAGTAATATTGATAAATAACATACCGTGACAACTCCCTTCATTCAGTAATACTATGAACTATCAGGACTAATGGTGACTAACTACTAAAAATACGGTGAAACATCAAACAACTACCTACAAAGCAGCGGTGCAGCAGCTGCTTAATATTATAACTACACTAAACATCTCTCATTTCTGTGAATTCTAATAGAAGCAGGACCCTAAAATATGCGATCCACATAAAATCAACTGTATTATGCACAAATAGAAAACATCATTGAACATGCATTTGCTTTTAAACTGTTGGTTCTATTCCTAGACACGAAACTATAGACTAGACAATTATTACTATATAATGAGCAACAAATCATACTTCTGCACGTTTCCTGAGGGCCACAAGAGTCACTGGACTCGCTTCTATCCTTGCCTATTAGTATCAATTACATTTTATACTAGTTTTAATAAAGTAATATCACTTATTTCTTGTTTTACATAATTATATAGATCCTGAGAGTAACATCACAAAGAAATATAATGACAACTGAAAAGTAACTCACATAATCCATATACTACATCAGAAAAAATGTAACATGCAATTTTCCTGTCCTCTGAACCCATCACAAAGTCCATGCTCAAACTTGTGCTACATTTTCCCTTATTGTGTCCTGGAAAAACTGGTCTGACCTGAACTTGGTCATTGATTCAAATATTAACTTAACATTGGCTTTTCCCTTGATCTTCTATACTGAATATGTAGCGTATGTGAAACACGTTATATTAGCGGTACTGTAAAGACATCTCAAAATAACGACTCAAAAACATACATACTGCATGTATATTCACTTGCTTTTTAAATATTTGTAGATAAACTGAATGAGCTATACGATATACAAAAAATTACGTTTCCCTAGTGAATGATTCTATTAATGACCTACAGAATTGTAGTCACCTAGTGGTTTTGTATCAGGGAACCTTAGGGTTGGTTAAAACCAATAATTACAGACTTGAGTAGCACAATCTCCGTAACTGTAAGCGTAGACTCCACTTTTCTTAAGCTTTTATTCAACAGTTTCTGCAGGCTGCTGAACTTTCCTCGGCCAAGAAATACATAGCAGATTAACCTGAAAGAAAATGTGTATGTATGAACGTGTATTGTAGTTTCACGCAGTTAGTTGAACCCAAACTGGATAGCTTGTTGTGTTGAATCCAATAAAAGTTGTATTAAAACTAGAATGATTGTCCCAGAGAGGGAAACTCAGGGAATATAATACCCCCCTCCCCCCCGCTTCGAGCTGTTATGGTGCCTGTGATATGTGAGAGCTGACTGGTGACACTCATGAATCTAGCACCGCGGCGATTGTATGGCAAAGCAGGTGGTAATATTACTATTAATAAAAGGACGTCACAGGGCCTGTGGTTGTATATGGCTGGACGTGATGCGGCCATGATGCCGAGGCGTCCCAAGGATTGACACTGTGTCTTCCAATCACAGTCTACGCCGCACCTCTCTATTATAACTTCTAGGTATAATACCATTAGAGCACCAAATCGCCGATCTCAGGAACTAGGGCATTCTGCTAGGCTAGAACGGTTTCCTACGATAGAGTTTCGCACAAATACGAAAATAACACGCTGTTTAGCGCACTGCGCTACGTCCTTCTGTTGCATTTTCGCATTTCCGTAATCAGAATAAGCCCCGCCTTCTTTGTTGATGGGCATGAATGGGTCATCAACAACGTGACCCGTTACTGCGTGTAGGTGTTTGGCGATACTGTTTGCTTTTCGAAAATAATGAAAGGCCCGGCCGATGCATTTCGCACCGAAGTGGAAAAATTAGGCATTTTTACCCGCTTTCGTAAGTGAACGAGTGCGTCATTCATTGAACGTTCAAGTTTTTCTTAAAATTAAATAATTTCGAAAATCCCTAACCGCGCTACTCGATTGTTTTAGCCAATGAAGGTAGCTGTGTGTGTGACGTCTTGCCCGCACACTTTATGCTTGGCTTAGCGGGCCTCGAAATGGATATCGGAGGCACGCACCTCGCAACACGCGTTTTTGTTTACATAATAGCTTTGTGACATCAGGATGGGCGGTGTCGGGAGTTCTGCGATGATAACCTCGTAATTTCTCAGCATTTCTTAAGGTGCATGGAACATTTTACCAATTTAGTGGTGTCAGTTAGTCACGGATATGTGACAGTAAGTACTAATTAACCGTATATGTTTCACATACGTTCACCTATTTTGCACACAGGCGGTCGATCATTGTGAAAAATTGTGTGAAGATTTATTTTTATTGAGACGTTCCAAGTGCCTGTGCTTTCATCAGTCTTGTACGTCAATGCACGTGTTTGTTCATGCCTGAACGCGTGTTTGATCAGGGAATGGGTGCATGTAAGAGGGAGACATTTTCTTTGGGGTTCCGAAAAACACAATTCACTTGACAATTTCATGGGCCATTTCAATTGGAAGTTCTGCATAATGGACCCCCAACAAGCCCTTTGACTGACTAGTCAAGAAATTCAAAGGTCTGTATATTGCTCTTATTTAGCCGCCGATAGTTCTTATTTAGAACAAAGTCTTCATTGTTATCTTCTAAAAATACAGACCATCCGCTGACCGCTGTGGAGACGTGCGCCGGGCCTCGAATTTGGCGCACGTCTCCACTGCGGACAGCGCTTGATACTTGAACATCCCCGCGTTCGCGTGCGCATATCCCGCGAAACTGCGCGCGCAGCGTTTAGGATCAACAGCAAAGCTGTGCCACGCAATCTTGTATCATGTCTCTCTGGTTAGGCCTACTATAGACACTTATGACTCAGTATGTAGTGGCTGGGCAGGTACATATGAAATCAACGATGATTGGTGTGTAGGTAATAGTGGATTATAACCACACGTGGGGCTGTTATTTATGTGCACTCATCTGAAGGCGGCCGGCCAGGGTATTTGATTGTACACGTGTGGGAGCTATCAACGACTCGATAGTGGCTGGGCAGTTATGTATGAAATAATCCACTAGATGGCGTCAGCATGTCATATATAACCAAATGGATATGTTTACGGAAAACGGCCATAAATCTTTCCGAAAATGTCGGACGCAAAAAATTAATCGCAGGTCGACAACTACCTTGGGTACTGATGATGTGTACCAAATATGGTTGAAATCGGTCCAGTACCTTTCGAGGAGATCTGCGCACAAGGCTGGTGTCGGACAGACAGACAGATACACAGACAGACAGGGTGATTCCAGTATACCCCCCCCCCTAACTTCGTTGGCAGGGGGTATCATGATTATACCAGTGTGTAGCTTGTCCACTGGAGAAATTGCAGATACAAGATTTAGTATACATGTATGTATAAAAATTCATTGCCTCCCTCATCAGTTAGGCTGGCAGAAAAGACAATGAAATAATGTAGTTATAATACAGTATATAGGGTCTAGGGTCAGGTGATATTCTTATCTTACACATGAGACATACCATGTTATATAGCTCAGACACACAGGGAACTCCACCGGCTCACTCTGCCAAGGTATCCTCTTCACAGCTCTCACGCCCAGTCTATGTATCTGAGTTGCCAACTGCAGTATCACCCCTGTTGGTGAATTGAAAGGAATTTTTTAATGCCTTTTTACGTAAAATTGTAAATTATATCCACAGAATCCATTCTATCGAACCAGGAAAAGTCTGTGCTTATAAAGTTACATTGGTACCATATGATTATTATGCCCCCATATGCACCACATGTGCACATTTCACACCTGTTTAACGTATATATGTATACATTCTGTGTATGCACGAGGTTTAGTTTTAAGGAGAATAGTTTATGTAGCATACTATGGTAGAACTTTGGGTTCGCTGCTGGTTTCACGCGCAGTTGCCGTGTGTAGACGTAGAAGCGCTGGTGGATGAAGAGCAGCAGCCGGTACAGATTGCTGATGTAAGCTTCCATAGAATGGTGCATGGCCACGTCTAATGTGAGAGGAGTTACCTTCAATGCCAACTGCCTGCAAAATAAATGGCAGAATCATATGTATTACAATTAAGCATCACATTTTATCAACTTCCTCATCAGGGCTCATATAATATACATCAGGCTGCGAAATTAACGGGAGTCCGGAGTCAAATACTCCCTGAACATTCTGCCATACTAACTAGTTCGTTCCGAAGCACGGCCTCATGGAATTACCGTATTTTTTCAACAAATGTCCAAAGAAAATTTGGCAGATGTGCAACCGCATGAATCTTAAAAATAAGCACATGCGTTATTGTTAATATCTTTAATTTTAAACCTCAAGACTGCAGACTCCCTCTTTTTGAGGGTAGGGAGTCCGTTGGACTCCCGTGTTCAAAAGTTAATTTCTACCCCTGATACATCTTCACCAAATTTTTAACCAGGACTAAACAGTATAAACCAAAATTCAAATCGAGGCTAAATGTGGCCTAGCAAAACTAATTTTGTGGCACCAAATCCTGTATGCATAACATCCATATGTATTGCTATCTTTCAGTGCAAGTCTAAAGACAACATAATTATATAAAAATACGTACATAAACATTTTTTTCTTGAATTCCAAGCCAGCATTCTTGTGCGGTTTAAATGTAGTGCTGTTATATGCCTCCTCATATGTACTTTCTTTCAGGTTGAGTCGTAAATCAAGCGTTTCCATATCAATGACGACCCCACAGTAAGGCATAAGTCCTACACAGACCAATAAATATCCGCACCAGATATGTAAGCAAGGGATTTTGCACCATTAGCTGCAGAATAAAGTTCATCTCTACCATGCTACTCTGGATAATGATGTCTTAGAAAAGATGTGACGGATGACACACATAAAGCTATCCAGCAATAGATGGTATTGCACATTATACTCCAAAGCTGATTAACTGATGATTTACTTTCGGCAGACTGTGTCACACACATACCTGTTATATCATGCAAATATATCCCCCAAGGGGTCATAACTTTAGACAAATTATATGAAAGCACTGCTGGATAGTATTTTTCATTACTACATAGTACATATAGCTCAAAACAATTATGGATTCATTATTCACACCTAATGCTGCACCACACTGTAATAGTCTGCAGGAATACAGGTTCCTGAACATAGCCTAGCTGGTACTGGTAGTCCTCCCCAGAAGAAGAACGTAGCTTCTTTTATTGCGTACCCTCACGGTCTGTAAATGGCATTTGCCCCATTGTCTCGTGTGTGTATCGAAAGTTCAACAGCACCTTTTCCTTCGATATATTGCAGTTGTACTCGGGTATTCCTAGAAAAGTACTTAAACATTAGACATGTATACATCATATAAAAGTACACAAAATATATAGTATCAAAGAGCTGGCGCTGCTTAAAATCAGAGTATTGAATATTTGACATCAGTATTACTTAAATGTAAAGTAATGCTCTTTATCAATTGGTGCCTGTGATGATTTAGTAGCTCATGAAGTTACATAATTATTACTTGAAATCACTAATATTCTACATATAACATGTTTTGCAGAAAATTTCATGTTATAATGTTCTTGCTGACCATATACTCACGCACGAAGGGTCGTTGTCGTAACAGGTATACGATTAGACCCGCGGTGTTTTAGGTTGTTTGTTATATGTTGATATTTTATTATGAGTATGTTTGGGTTAGGTGTAGGGTATAGATGTTAGGCGTTTCGGGTTAGGCGTGGGTTAGTTGGGTAGGGTACATTCATGTTAGTCAGTTCTGGTAACGTGGTATAATATATACTGGTACGATCCTGTGTCCTGTTACGACAACGCTATGAGCTTACTCCCCCTCTGGCTCAATCCTTAAGAAACTCCAGCATCTATCGGATCGGTCACGTATGAAATCGTCAGCCTGTCATACCTCCACTTTTGTGCTGATAATTCTGGTATTAAATTAACTGATAATTCTGTCACTTACGCTTTGTCCTCCCGATTAATTTACTTCTAGCAAGGTATATTTGTGTTGTTTCTTTGAACATATACCGTGGAACCGATTAACGCCGATGAGCCCTTTTTAGATGTTGTTTGTCTGTTGACCCCATTTTTTTGCTCATATGCCACGTTAATACCGACTTTTAGCGCATCCTGCTTTTTTATCGCGATGACATTTTTGGACACACACTATCACATTTAACGGGCTCCTGATAGATATCTATTTAGAATATATAAGTTGTTCACCCAATCTAGGTCCGTCTGCGATAACTAGATCTCGCCACCTAGAAGACACTAAATCTTTTCAGATCGCCGTCTGGGGGCTGGCGTGTATCTGGCGGAACAACATTTTAAAAGTTAAAATATTAAAATTCATTAAAGTCTTTCATATAGATGGCGCGTGATCCAGATAGCCGTAGGCTGTGCGATCCATGGTATACCTTAATGGCGCGTGGCTATCTAGAATCGTTCCTCCGGGCTCCGGTTCCGAGTCCGCTCGGGAACTTATTTCCCCTTTTTCGTTTTCTCTTTGTAGTCTTATTTTAACTTTTTTATATTGAATGTCTTTTATCTTTTGATTTCTTATTATTTTTACTGTTTGTGAGAGCTTGGAGTGGGGATGATGGCCGATGCGATGCGATGGGGATGGGATGCGGATGGCGACTGGATGTAATGGTCTGGATGGTCCATGGATAGATAGATGTGAGATTTTTTGGTTTTCCTTTCACCAAGGGTCACCAACTGCAGCCGCCACTGTTCCGCGGGCTGCGGGTATCCCTAGTATTTATCTAATTTGTGCGGTTTCGTATATTGTTACGTAGTTGTTGCCGTTTTAGTTGTTTCATGAGAAGATGGTCCTTGGCGGGCGTGTTGTTACGCGCGAGGTGACGCGAGGGCGCGAGAAAGGAGAGTGCTTTTGTGAGATGACGAGGTTTTTGAGAATCGAGTTTTAATTAAGACTGAGTTGTGTTTTACTGGAAATCCTCCGCCGTGAGGTATTATAACGCAGAAGGCGAGCCTGATCCCGGAGGCTGTATTCTTGTTACACGTATTACTCGTAAATTTGGCGCAATGTGGGGCCTCTGGATAGCAGTCCAGATGATCGAGGCGGACCGCGATGCCGCCGCTGTCGGCGGTACGAGGAACAGCAGTCCGCCGGCCCTGCTCGTACAATCATGGACCTGGCAACGTGTGGTGGAGCCTCAGCTGGAACAGATCGCATGCTAACGAGCTGATGAGACAGCTGCAGGTGAGCCCGCCGGCTGCCGGACCGTCGGTCACCTCAGAAGCTTTGTCATTGTGGGTAAGGTTGGTAGAGCTGCTGTGACCCTAGCCCTCTCATATTGCCCGTCGCTACGTCAGCTGGCAGGGCGCGAGAGGAGGGGGTATGGAGAAAGGGAATTAGTCCAGGGCGTTGGTAGGGCGATAGCGTCGAAGTCTAAGTCAGCCTTTTGGTAGGGCGAAGGGACTCGCCTAATTGGAGGGTATGGGCTTTACCGTGCTTACAAGTCGGACGCCGCGCTTACCGAGCCTGTGCTCAGCGGTCCAACGGGCCAATGAGCATCCCCATGATTCTCCTGAGCGGTGATGGTATCCAGCGCAGTAAATGGAGGTGCTACACAAGGGACCTATGGATGGACTGGACATTCGCTGGGGACTGGGCTACAGAGGGATCCCTCAGTGTGATGATGAGGTCGTTACCACCGGGTGCTCAGATAACTGTAACTTCTGCGAGGTTGCGAAGCAAAGGCCCTGCTGACAGAAGGTGCGGCCTAACATAACAAAAGCGCGAAAGTCTGCTTTATAAGTCAGGAACTTGAGGCTGGAAGACAAGGAGTGTAAGGAGTATGCTCAGAAGGAGCTGAGTGAGCTGAGGCAGGAGGAGCGCTTGGCAGCCCCAGAGGAGCGAGACAAGTCAAAGGTCGAGTAAGAAGAGGACGTGTTGGCTGCGGGTTGCCAGGAGACAGCATAGAGGTGTAATCACTGTTTCAAGGTGCTGGCACAAGTACTGGCCACGGTGCTAAGGAATGCAGTACAGCGGGAAACGGCATGGCCCATCTGCCTGGCGGGGCACCAGGCAGGTGGAACCTCCAGTAAGCCGCATTTTCCATCGGCGACGGGATTAGGGTTGGAAGGTGGCCCACGAGTTATGGAAGAAAGGTTGGTCGTCACCTTACCTGGAGGCAGGAGTACCCAGTTCTTGTGGGCACCGGCAGCAGCCGGCTATCTATGTCAACACCGAATGCTGAGGGAGTTCCCTAACTATCGGTCCGGCGTATCGGGAGGTGCTGACGGCCATTGATTAAGTCTGCCTCTAGCAACAAAGATTCCCATCGTAGGGATGGAAATTCAAGTCGAGGCATGTTTGATGGCGACCATTCGTGCGTGGTAGAGGTGCCGTTCCTAGTTGCCACCGGACCCCTGCCGGAACCCATTGTGGGTTTTAACGTCATGGAGGCTCTGATTGAGGGAGAGTCAGCCGTTGTGGGTGACAAGAGAATTTTCGGAGGCCTTCCTCGGGGTGTGGTGAACCAAGTGGTAAATACAGCTGAGCTGTGGGACCCACCCATCGACCTGGCGCACCTAGACGAGGAGCAGCAGGGTACTGCTAAACAGATGTTGAGGGAAGAGAGTTGTGCCTTCATGCGGGACGAGGAGGACTACGGACTCTGTCCGGGGCTCAGTCTGAAGATTAACGTGAAGGACGACATCCCTGCACAGAAGAGTTATACGGGGATACCCAGGCCCATGTATGAGGAGGTGAAAAGATACCTGTAAGATCTCATTGAGAAGGGCTGGGTACAGAAATCTAAATCTGCTTACTCGTCGCTCGTTGTTTGCGTCAGAAAGAAGGACGGTACACTGAGACTAGGTGTCGACTACAGAGCTCTCAATCAGAAGACGATTCCAGACCGCCAACCCTTGCCAAGAGTGCAAGATACATTAGAAGGACTCGGAGGTAATAGGTGGTTTTCAGCACTCGATCAGGGAAAGGCGTATCACCAAGGCTTTGTAGACCCAGCTAGTCAACATCTCACCGCCTTCATCACCCCTCTGGGCCTACATGAATGGGTGAGAATTCCATATGGCCTGTCGAATGGACCACCCTGTTACCAAAGATTCATGGAGGAGATCCTGAATGAGGTGATACATAAAATCTGTCTACCTGGACGATGTGCTGGTATACAGTCAGACATTCCAGGAGCATGTTGACCACCTCAGAACAGTACTACAACTGTTTCAGCGGCATAGTGTTAAGATGAAACCAGCGAAGTGTCGCCTATTGCAGGCAGAAGTAAAGTACTTGGGCCGTATTGTGTCTGCGGAGGGATACAGGGCCGATGATAAGGAAATTGCTGCCATGGTGGAGTTGAAGGAAAGAACCCCCCACACTGTCGGGGAGGTGAGAAAGGTGCTCGGACTGTTGGGTTACTACAGGAGATACTTGAGACTACTCCAAGAGGGCAAAGCCTTTGTTTGAGCTCCTTACCAAGTCTGCAGCCCAAGAACCATCAGTAAGAAAGCGTAAGCCATCCAAGGCCAAGACAGGTCAGCTTCCATCAAACGCAGCCATTAGTTGGCAGCCACACCACCGAGAGGTAGTGAGTAATTGCATTGACGAGTTAACCTCTGCACCTGTCATGGCCTACCCAGCCTTTGAATTGCCATTCATCTTACACACAGATGCAGCTAGTGAAGGACTCGGAGCGGTACTCTACCAACAACAGGGAGAGTCACTGCGGGTGATTGGGTATGCCTCGAGGAGTCTGTCCCCAGCAGAGAAGAATTACCATCTACACTCTGGAAAACTGGAGTTCCTTGTGCTGAAGTGGGCCGTGACTGAACATTTTAGAAATTACCTGCTGCATGCAAAGTCCTTCACAGTCTTCACTGACAACAGCCCCTTGACGTATATACTGAGTACCGCTAAGCTTAATGCCACGGGTTGCCGCTGGGTTGCAGAGTTGGCAGAGTTCTACCAATTTGAGATCAAGTACCACCCTGGAAAGGAAACCATAGATGCAGATGTGCTGTCCCGTGAGCCTGTGGACATGGCTGATTACATGACCAGATGCACCCAGTCAGTCTCTCCTCAGAACATCCAGGCTATTAGTAGTGGGGTGGTCGCATCAGTCCCGGCCATAGCGACAGTTATGGTGGCACCAAGCATGGTCGGAAACCATGATGTAACGGTGGAGTGCAACTCTACCCAGAAGATTGACATTAAACAAGGTCAACAGAGTGATCCAGCCATCAGGGACGTCCTGCAGTGGGTTCGACGGAAAATATATCCCTCAGTCAGGGAAAGGCAGAAGAGTAGCGCCATCGCTGGGTGACTACTAAGAGAGTGGAGGAAGTTAGAGGTAGATGATGGGGTACTGTACCGGAACACCGCCACCAAAAAACAATTGGTTCTGCCAGATGCTATGAAGTCTAGAGTCTTGAAAGAGTTGCATGACAATATGGGGCATCTGGGCGCCGACAGGGTTAGCGCTGGCGGTAGATAGATTCTACTGGCCTAAGATGGCAGATGACATTGATTTCTACATTAGATCCCAGTGCAAGTGCGTCAAGCAGAAGCCAGCTAGACATCAGAAGGCACCATTGGTGCCCTTTCATGTCTCCGAGCCATTTGAGTGGGTGTCCATAGACTTTCTGCTCCTTGAGCGCAGTAAACGTGGATATGCATACATCTTGGTCGTGACGGACCACTTCACACGCTTTGCACAAGCCTACCCGACCATTAATAAGTTAGGCAGAACAGCAACAGAGAATCTCTTTATCAATTGGTGCCTGTGATGATTTAGTGGCTCATGAAGTTACATTATTACTTGAAATCACTAATATTCTACATATAACATGTTTTGCAGGAAATTTTATGTTATAATGTTCTTACTGACCATATACTCACCCTCTAGCATCAATTTAAGAAACATCACAGCATCATATCTAGACTCGGTCACGTATAGAAAATCGTCAGCCTGTACATAAACACATCCAATTTTGTGTATAATTACTTGTATTAAATTTAACTGCAACATAATTCTGTCAATTACTGTCATCCCGATTAATTTAATCTACTAACAAGGATATAATTTGTGTATGATTTACTTATGAACATATACAGTGGAACCCCGATTTAACGCGATGAGCCCCTTTTTTAGATGTTGTTTGTCATGTTGGACCCCATTTTTTTTGCTCATATAGCCACGTATATATAACCCCGATTTAGCGCAATCCTGCTTTTTTCGCGATGACATTTTATGGACCACAACCATCACATTATAACGGGGCTACACTGTATATATATATTTATATATATAAAGTTGTTCAGCCAAATTAGGTCGTACTCGCATAACTAGATAACTCCGCAGCCTAGAAGAAAACTAAAAATATTTTCAGAATCAGCACGTCTGGGAGGTGGTTCTGGCAGAAACAAAAATTTTAAAAGTTAAAAAATTAAAAATTCATAAAAATTCTATTCATCAATAGATGGCGGTGCATACAGATAAACATCACGTAGTGTGAATCCATGGGTATACCCTTAATGGCGCAGTGGCATAATCGCTAGAACATCCGTCTCCTACACCGGGATTCCAGGTTCGAGTCCCAGCTCGGGAACTTATTTTCCCCTTTTTTCCTTTTTTCCTCTTTAGTATGTATTATTTTTACTTTTTTTAATATTGAATGTCTTTTATCTTTTGATTTCTTATTATTTTTTACTGTTTGTGATAGCATGAGATGGGATGGGATGGGATGCGATGCGATGGGATGGGATGGGATGGGATGGGATGGATGGATGGATGGATGGATAGATAGATAGTTAGATTTTTTTGGGTATTTTCCTTTCAACCAAGCGGTCACCAACTGAGCGGCCACTGATTTCCCCGGGCAATGCCGGGTATCCCGCTAGTATATATATATATATATATGTAGCGGTTAGTATATTGTTACGTAGTTGTGCCGTTTATAGTTGTTTCACGAGAGATGGTACTGGCGGGCGTGTTGTTACGGGAGAGAGTGACGCGAGGGCGGAGAAAGGAGAGATGCTTTTGTGAATTGACGGATGTTTTTGAGGAAATAACAAGTTTTAATTACATCTAGAGTTTTGTGTTTTACTGGAAATCCTCGCGTGAGCGTTTGACAACAGCAAGACAGGAGCCTGATCCCCGAGGACTGGTATTTATACTGATATAACACTTATTACTGGTAACATTTGGCGCCCAATGTGGGGCCTCTGGATAGAGTAACAGCATGTCGAACGCGGAACAGGATGCCGCTGTTGGCGGTACAGGAACAGCAAGTCCCGCGCCCTCCTCTGTACAACCTACCATGGACCTGCTGTTCCAGCTGAGTCTCCACCACACGTTGATCAAAATGCTAACGCAGCTGATGGAGAGACAGCTGCAGGTGCAGCCCGCGGTCCCGGAGTCGGTCACCCTCAAGAAGGACTTTGTCATTGTGGGTAAAATTGGTGAGCTGGGTGACCCTAGCACCCTCTCATATGCGTCAGTACAGCATCAGCTCGACAGGGCCCGAGAGAGAGGGGTAACGGAGAGGGAATTAGTCCAGGGCGTTGTAAGGGCAATAGCGCCGAAGTTACAAGTCAAGGCCTATTTGGAGGGGCGAGGAGACATCGGCCTAATGGAGGTAATGGCAATTTTAGCCAGCCATTACCAAGTAGAGGACGGCCGGGAGCTCTACCAGAGCCTGTGCTCAGCGGTCCAAGGGACCAACGAATCACCCATCGACTTCATCCTGAGGGTGATGAGTATCCGGCAGAGGGTAATGGAGGCTGGCTACAACAAGGACCTAGTGGATGAGACCATGAGACATGCGCTGGTGACTGGGCTAAGAGAGGAATCCCTCAGATGTGAGATGAGGTCTTTACCACCGGGTGCCTCAGATTGTAACATTCTGGAGGTTGCGAAGAAAAGAGCCCTGCTGACAGAGGTGCAGGCTAAACATAACAAAAGCGCGAAAGTATACTTTATAAGTCAGGAGAACTTAGAAGGCTGGAAGAAGGAAGTGAAGGAGATGCTCAGAAAGGAGCTGAGTGAGATGAGGCAGGAGGAGAGCTGGAAGCCCCAGAGTCAGCAGAGACAAGGTCAAAGGTCAGAAGTAAGAAGGAGGACGTTTGGCTGCCAGGGTTGCAGGGAGAAGCAGCAGAGGTGTAATCACTGTTTCAAGTGTGGCGGTACTGGCCACGTTGCTAAGGAATGCAGCTACCAGACGGGAAACGGATGGCCATCTGCTCTGGCGGACACAGGACAGGTGGACCTCCAGTAAGACCCCGCAATTTCCATCGGCGACAGGGAGTAGGTAATGGAAAGGTGGCCAGGTTAGTAGGAAGAAAGTGTGTCGTCACCCTATACCTGGAAGGCAAGGAGTACCCAGTCTTGTGGGACACCGGAGCAGCCGTATCTATGATACACACCGAAATGCTAGAGGGAGTTCCCTAACCTATCTGTCCGGAGTATCGAGGAGGTGCTGAACAGGCCATTGGAATTAACGTCTGCCTCTAGCCACAAGATACCATTTAAAGGGATAGTAAATATCAAAGTCGAAGCATCGTTTGATGGCGACCATTCGTGCGTGGTAGAGGTGCCGTTCCTAGTTGCCACCGGACCCCTGCCGGAACCCATTGTGCGCCGTTTTAAACGTCATGCGAGGCTCTGCATTGAGGGAGAGTCAGCCGTTGTGGTGACAAGAGAATTTTCGGAGGCCTATCTCGGTGTGTGGCTTGAACGCAAGTGGTAAATACAAGCTGAGCTGTGCGGACCCGACCCATCGACCTGGCGCCACCTAGACCGAGGAGCAGCAGGGTAGCTGCTAAACAGATGTTGAGGGAAGAGAGTTGTGCTTCATGGCAGACTAAGGCAGGACTAGCGGAGCTGCTGTCCGCGGGCTGAGTCTGACAGATTACCGTGAAGGAGCGACATCCCTGCCACAGAATGAGTTATACGGGGATACCCAGGCCCATGGTATGAGGAGGTGAAAAGATAGCCTGTTAAAGATCTGCATTGAGAAGGGTGGGCTACAGAAATCTAAATCTGCTTACTCGTCGCTCGTCTTGTTGCGTCAGAAGAAGGACGGTACACTGAGACAGGTGTCGACTTACAGAGCTCTCAATCAGAAGACGATTGAGACGACCAACACCCTTTAGCCAAGATGTGAAGAGACATTATGAAGTGACTCAGTGGTAAATAGGTGGTTTTCAGCACTCGATCAGGGAAAGGCGTATCACCAAAGGCTTTGTAGACCCAGTTAGTCGACATCTCACCGCCTTCATCACCCCTCGGGGCCTACAATGAATATGGGTGAGAATTCCATATGGGCTGCGCAATGCACCACCCTGTTACCAAAGATTCAGGAGGAGATCCTGAATGAGGTGATACATAAAATCTGTCTACCTGGACGATGTGCTGGTATACAAGTCAGACATTCCAGGAGCATGTTGACCACCGTCAGAACAGTACTACAACTGTTTCAGCAGCGCATAGTGTTAAGATGAAACCAGCGAAGTGTCGCCTATTGCAGTCAGAAGTAAAGTACTTGGGCCCGTAATTGTGTCTGCCGGCAGGATACAGGGCTGATGATAAGGAAATTGCTGCCCCATGGTGGAGTGAAGCAAAGCAACCACCCCAAGCACTGTGCGGGAGGTGAGAAGGTGCTTGGACTGTTGGCGTTACTTACAGGAGATACTTGAGACTACTCAAGAGCGGGCAAAAGCCTTTGTTTGAGCCCTCCGTTACCAAGTCTGCAGCCACAAGAACCATCAGTAAGAAAGCGTAGCCATCCAAGGCCAAGACAGTCAGCTTTCCATCAACGCAGCCATTATTTGCGCAGCCACACCACCGCGAGAGGTGTGAGTAATGCCATTGACGCACGAGTTAACCTATGGCAACTGTCATTGCCTACCCAGCCTTCGAATTGCCATTCATCCTTACACACAGATTCCAGCTAGCTGTAAGGACTCGGAGCGTACTACTACCAACAACAGCGGCAGAGTCGCACTGCGGTGATTGGGTATGCGCCTCGAGAGTCCTGTCCCCAGCCCAAGAGAGAATTACCAATCTTACACTCTTGCGAAAACTGGAGTTCCCCCTTGTTGGCTGAATGGGCCGTGACTGAAACATCTTTAGAAATTACCTGCTGCATGCAAGTCTTCACAGTCTTCACTGACAACACCCCCTTGACGTATATACTGCAGTACCGCCGCAAAGCTTAACGCCACAGTTGCCGCTCGCGGTTGGCAGGATTGGCAGAGTTCTATCCAATGGTTGAGATCAAGTACCACCCTGGAATAGGAAACGCATCAGATTGCAGATGTGCTGTCCCGTGAGCCTGTGACATGGCTGATTACTATTGACCAGATGCACCAGTCAGGTTTCTCCTCAGAAGCATCCAGCGCTATTAGTAGTGGGCGTGATCGCATCAGTCCGGCTCATATCGAGCAGTTATGTGGCACAAGCATGGCTCGAAACCATGATGTAACCAGTGCGTAGTGGCAAGCTCTAACAGAAGATGACCATCAAACAAGGTCAACAGAGTGATCGCAGCATCAGGGCGTCCCTGCAGCTAGGCGTTCAACGAAAATAAAATCCTCAGTCCAGGGAAAGGCCAGAAGAGTAAGCCCGCCATAGCTGGTGACTCTACAGAGAGTGCGAGGAAGTTAGAGGTTAGATGATGCGGGTACTGTACCGGAACACCCGCCACCAAAAAACAAATTGGTTCTGCCAGATGCTATGAAGTCTAGAGTCTGAAAGAGTTGGCTTGACAATATGGGGCATCTGGGCGCCGGACAGGGTTAGCGCTGGCGGTGGAGATAGCATTCTACTGGCGCTAAGATGGCAGATAGACATTGATTTCTACATTAGATCCAGTGCAAGTGCGTCAAGAGCAGAAGCCAGCCTAGACATCAGAAGGCACCATTGGTGCCGTTTCATGTCTCCGAGCCATTTGAGTCGGGTGTCCATAGACTTTCTGCTCCTTGAGCGCAGTAAACGTGGATATGCATTACATCTTGGTCGTGACATACCATTTCACACGCTTTGCACAAGCCTACCCGACCATTAATAAGTTAGGCAGAACAGCAACAGAGAAGATGTTTAATGATTACTTTCTCAAGTATGGCTTCCCTAGACGTCTGCACCATGACCAAGGCAGAGTTTGAAAATGGTTACTTTAAGCACCTACAAAAGTTGACCGGCGTTCAGCATTCACGAACGACAAGTTATCACCCCAAGGGCAACGGTCAGTGTGAAAGGTTCAACTGTACCCTGTTGTCCATGCTTCGAACTCTGGATGAGGAACAGAAAGTGGATTGGAAAAGTCATCTCAACAAAATTGTGCATGCATGCAATTGCACGAAGAACGATGCGACGGGATACTCACCACATTACTTGATGTACGGTAGACACCCGCGTCTCCCAGTTGACATACTGTTCAAGTTGTCAGAATAGGTCGCATCCAATGCCAACAGAGGCATGCCAGAGTATGTCAAGAAGTGGAAAGGAATGTCAAGAAGGAACAAATAGAAGAGGCATACACTATAGTGTCCCAGAAGGTGGCAAAGCGAAATCAGACTGCGAAAGAGCGGTTTGATCATAGGGCTTCTGCCGCAACACTAGATGCAGGAGACAGAGTGTTGGTGAAGAGGTTGAAGGCCCCCGGGGGACCTGGGAAGTTACAATCTTACTGGGAAAATGATGTCTACAGGGTGATGAAAAAGCACGCAGACCTGCCAGTCTATGATGTTATCGTGGATGACCAACCGTATGGGAAGGTCCGAACACTACATCGGAATCATCTGATGCTATGCAACAGCCTCCCAGTGCCGAGGATAGAAACAACCCCACTGAACAAAACCAAAGGGAAGCGTGACGACAATCTTAAAGATAAGGTAGAGGACCTGCGGGACTCCAATGGCTATGAATCAACAGAGGCTGATGATTGTGTTATTGGTTTTACCATTGAGAAACCAGATTGGGCCGAGGAAGGTGTGGGGATACCACCAGGCTCAAACCCGGAAGCCCCAGAGTTTGTGCCAAGGACTCAATCTGAGCACCGAGCGGAAATGAATAGAAGCAACCATCGGAATCAGCATGAAGCCTGTATCGATGTGAGTCTCCCAGTGCATAGGGAAAGCAATCGTGCGAATAATCTTCAGAATTCTGAGGATAGCGATGTCGACGAGAATCTCCAGGTCTCAGAGGGTGACCTAGAAGATAACAGTGTGTCGTCGGAACCCAGTGTTGAGGAATCGGAACATACGGAGGAGGAATGTAACCCCTTCGCAGACAGGAACAGGGAACCTCGACAAGTGAGAAACAAGCAGCCACCAAAGCGATACACATATGATGTTATGGGTACACCTGCTCCGGCTTGCTTAACTATTCAACCCATAAACTGGTTATCGTCGTGGCTTGGATGGAAACCCAAAACAATGCATATTATTGATGTTTGAATCTGGAAACTAGAATATGGCAGTGTACCTGCCTTTCTGTTGTAATGTTACTGCTGGGCGGTTGCCCCTTGTTTTTAGTGGATTGTGTGGCCTGATTGAAAATGTAATTGTATTGTCACATGTAATTGCTATAATTGAAAACCCTATGATTTATTAAGAGGGTTGAAATGGACATTGCATACTTATGGAAGAATAAGATTGTGGTTTGAATATGGACAGATTTTGAACAGAAATGATGACTGAAGAGTTGTCAAGAAAATTGGCTTGTAAGGTTACATATTGCAAACTGCCATGGATCTGTTTGAAATGTTCTAGTAAATGTATCTACATCGGACGGATCGTTGCAACCGATCGTGTTGTATCATTACAGTGTCTTGAATTGAATTAATGTCTTAAGTAATTAGTTGTCTTAATGTTGTGGAAGACATTATTTTTGTTGGGGGGAGTATGTATAGCAGTTATTATATTGATACGTAGTTGTACCGTTTATAGTTTTGTTTCACAAGAGATGGCGCTGGCGGGCGTGTTGTTAAGGGAGTGACGCGAGGGCGGAGAAAGGAGAGATGCTTTTGTGAATTGACGGATGTTTTTTGGGAAATAACAAGTTTTAATTACATCTAGAGTTTTGTGTTTTACTGGAAATTTATGGTATTTATACTGATATAACACTTATTACTGGTAACATATATATATATATATATACATATTGGTATGTGTGCGCGTGCGTCTATGTGCATGCTGGGGTGTTAGTTTGTGTGTGTGTACATGTGTCATACCTGAAATGGTCTCTGCACTAAAACTGTAGAACAGTAGTTGGTACTTACCCTGCGCATCAGAAGATCTTCACTGCAAGCTCCCCAATTGAAACAGTTGCTCTCCATGTCACCATAATAGATTTCACAGAGTGCACTAGAGATATTTGAGCCCTGGCAGATGCCTCTCGTCTGCCTGTAGTATTTTTTTCTGCACTGCAAAAGAATAAGGGAAAATATTCTAGCGACTAGTATCCGGTATTTTATTGCAAAGTACATGCAAGCAACACCTGTTTGAAACACGTGTACTTACACCCTATACAGACTGCAAATTTGATACCACATTAAACTAGTCAGGGCCAAGCGGGTGTCAAATTTTTGCAGTGTACACGCTATCCCGCTCCAAATACGCGCTGGCCCGCACCAATTTGTCCCCGCTAATCAATGAGGGCCCAGCTCCAAGCTGTCTGTACGCACTCCGGTGCCTAGCGCGCGTCAAATTTTGCAATGTCTGATGGTGATCTTCCCACAGGAACGGCACATCCTCCTTGAGTAAGCCACGGAGCGGTGACGACTTGTCTGCCAAGTTAGCTATGAATGGCGACAGATATGTCACAAACCCAAGAAACTCTTGTAGCTCTTTCTTACCGGTCGGCGCTGGCATGGCTTGTAAGTCATTTATCTTGCCAGGGTCTGGATGGACACCTTTGTCACTGTATACATTTCCAAAGAATGTGATACTGTTTGTCTTAATGTCACACTTCGTAGAGTTAAACACAAGACCGTTCTCCGCTGCGACTCGCATGAGGTTGTGTAAAATACGGTCATGTTCATCGTCAGATTTTGCGTATACTGCGACGTCATCAGCAATTCCTACGGCACCATCAACTTGCTCTAGTATTTGATCCATTCGCATCTGGAATACGTCTTGCGAGATCGATAAACCAAACGGTAAGCGCTGGAAACAGTACCTTCCGAATGGAGATTGGAAGGTTGTAAGCAGTTGAGACTCTGTGTCGAGTTGTACTGACCAATATCCTGCCTTGGCATCCAGTTTCGAGAAGACTTTAGCACCCGCGTAGTGATGCGTCAGTTCCTCGATTGTGGGGATTTTGTGGTGTGGGCGTTTTAGAGCCTGGTTCAGGTGTCTTGGGTCCAAGCATATGCGCAGGCTGCCATCCTTCTTATGTGAGTACGCTAGACTCGAGACCCAATCAGATGGTTCTGTCACCTTTCTGATGACACCGTCCTTCTCCATGAGGTCAATTTCCTTCTTGATCGCTTCCTTTAACGCTATCGGTGTTTTGCGTGGTGGATCTATGTGTGTTGGCACGTTGGGGTCTACTACAATCTTTGTCACCCCAGGCATGCAACCGATCCTGTCGAACTGGTCTGGATACAGCCGTTTCAGATCATGAATGTTACTGATGGACGGCTTCACACTGTCAGTGGTCCTGTCAGTTTCAGCTTTGATAGCACAGTGTAGTGTTACAAGTTTCATTTGTTCCCATGTTGGGAGGCCAGCGACTGCTGGTCCTTCCACGTCTACTATGTAGAACTTGCTAT